AACTGGTGCCGTGGTTTCTTGTATCAGAGAACTACTCTTAAGAATCTCCTGGCAGAGGGGCACCTGGGCGGCTCAGGCGGTTAAGCGTCCGACTTCGGCTCAGGTCATGATCTCACGGTTCGTGGGTTCGAGCCCCACGTCGGGCTCTGTGCTGACAGTTCAGGGCCTGGAGCTGCTTCAGATTCTGTGTCTCCCTCTCTCTCTGACCCTCCCCTGCTCACGCTGTCTCTCAGTCTCTCTCTCCTTCTCTCAGAAATAAATAAAACATTAAAAAAAAATTTTTTTTTTAAATCTCCTGGCGGAATGGATTAGTCTTTGGTTAAATGGATGCTCCTGAGGTGGGCGTGCCCTTCCCTTCTGGCTTCTTCGGGCCACTTGGTCTCTGACCATTTGCCCTGCATGCTTGATGAGGTCCTGGGAATGCCCTGGGAGAACATGGAGGCCAGAGACCTCGGGAAGCCGGGCAGATGGCTCTGCCGCCCACCCCCTCCCGTCCCTGCTTCCTCGTGGGGGCTGAGTTGCTCTTTCGTCCTGACCCTTGTTATCGGAGGTTCTGCTTCAGAACTGCTCTGGCCTCCTCTGGCTCTGCCCTAGATTCCCGGGGGCTGCCTGGCTTGGCCGCCAGGTCCACGGCCTCGGCTCACTGTGGGGACCCTGACCCCCTCTCCCTCCCCGGGGGCCCGGGGGCCGGAATGCTCCGGGAGGACCCCAGGTCAGAGCCTGGTGGGACAGGAAACTTCGGCAGAGTGACGGGGCTGGAAGGGTCACGGCCGGCAAGGTGAGGGCTGAGGGTGGAGGAGTCAGCCGTGGAAGCCGAGCCGTGGATGACTTTTAGCTGCGAGCACAATAGAAAGCTGGGTTTGTGTCAGCACAGATTTGAGTGGGAGAGGCTGGGGGCAGGGTGCGGGCTAGAGGCTGCTGCAAGCATCCCGGTCTGGGGCAGTAAGGGCGGGGGCGGGAACAGAGGGAATGGAGAGAACAGAGGGGAGGGGGCGCTCGGGGAGGCGTCTGGGGGAGTTGGGCTTGGGACTCGGTGTCTGGGGGCCAGCTGCTGGTCGCAGAAGTGAGGAAGAGGCAGGAGTCCAAACCGGGCCCTCGGAGCCAGAGGCGACCCAGGACCTGGGGCTCAGAGCTGGACAGGGGGGCGCCCCCAGAGATGAGCTGCTTGCACGGCATTCCAGGAATTCACCTCGGTGAGGAATCCAGACATGCCTTTTCATCGAAATCCAAACTTTCTGTCTCTCTACGTCCACACTCCCCTGTACTGGAAAGAATAAGCTTTTCTCTGAACCGGATGAACTCCGTCGGCGACCATGCCGTGAGCAGCCGTTCTGTGGTAGGTGCTGCTGTGCACGATGGAAACAAGGGAAGTTTAGGGAGACCGTCACTGACTGGCAGAAGCGATAGGGACACAGGTTATTCCCGCTCAGCGTGATCAGGGACCGCGACACGGCGCAGCCCAGGGCTGTGGGGGCCCAGTGAGACGTGTGGGTCATTCTGGCTCAGGGGACTTGAGAGGTCCCGTCTGATCTGGGTGCTGCAGAGGGGACGGGAGCTCACCGGCCGCGAGGAGGGAGAGGGTACTCAGAATGCACGTGGTCACGGGCGTGCGAGGCAGCACAGCCCGAAGCTCATTACGGGCCAGACACGCTCACGCCGTCAGCAATCGGAAAACAGGAATTGGGGCCACACTCGCACACCATTACACACCCATGGTCTTGGCGGATCTGAAGTCGGACGTTGCCAAGAGGTGGTGAGGATGTGAGCAGAGGAATGCTCCGGAAGGATGCAAAGTGGCCCCACCTCTTTGGAAAACAGGTTGTCATCACCCGGTGGGACTGAACATCGTCACGCCTCATCCAGGCCCCGTTACCAGAGAGACGTGCTAGAGACGCGCTCAGGAAGATGGCAGCATGGCTCATGACACGCCCAGACTGGAAACACGAACATCCTTCCACAGGAGGCTGGATAAGGGCAGTTTACAGGGAAATACCGTAGAGTAACGAGAGATGACCCTGAAGCTACACACACCCGCATGGGTGAGCTCCCAGGCATGCCGAATAAAAGCAACAAGACCCAGAAAAAACACCGGGATGAGTCTGTTCACGTACAAGTTCAAACACAGGCAAAACTAAACGGATCACTGTTTCCCTACATACAAAGGTGGTTAATCTGTGAAGAGAAGCAGGGGCACCTGGGCGGCCGAGTGGGTTAAGCAGCCGACCCCGGCTCAGGTCATGATCTCACGGTTCGTGAGTTCGAGCCCCGTGTTGGGCTCTGCGCTGACAGCTCAGAGGCTGGAGCTTGTCTTCCGGTTCTGTGTCTCCTTCTCTCTCTGACCTTTCCCCACTTGCGCCCTGTCTCTCTCCCCCTCAAAAATAAGTAAACGTTAAAAAAATTTTTTTACCTGTGAAGAAAATCGAAGGAGTCAGGACCAGTGACTTCTAGAGGGAGAAAGAGGTGTACGTGCGCATGTGATGCCAGTGATGTCCACACGTGCGTGTCCGTTTTGTTATGATTATTAACCTGCACAGGTAGATTCACAATGGGAAGTCACACCAGCCTTGCTGACCTGGCAACATTGACCTTGGTCTAATGGGAATAGGACTCGGATAAGGCTGGAGAGCAAGGTTGGAGGCACACGGGGAAGGCTCTCGTGTGCAGTCTAAACAGTTAGAGGCTGTGTGGTTTTCCTCATCTGGAGTATTTTAGGATATCAGGGATGCTCCAAGTACACAATACCTTGGGTGTCTACATAAAGAATTGCAGGGAACCATGATAAAGGGACGGTCTAGGTCTCTCTTTTTTTTTTTTTTTTGCCCAGGATTTCTGCTTTCCAAGGCCTTCCAGCTGGGAAAACAAGCTGTGTGCAGAGGAAGTCTAGACAGGTCTTGAGGACATGTTATTTAGGAGAGATAGTGCTCTTACACAACCAGGGGACATTTTCCATTGCCTATAAAAAGTGACCTTGACTGTGGGCCTAGGAGGAGACTTGGCCTTGCCCCACTCCACCCAGGGCTGCTCGGGACGGCCACGTGGGATGCAGGAGTGAGAGGAGCCGGCAAAGGAGAGGTTGGCGGGGAGGAGAGTCCCAGAGGCTGAATGGAGAGCACTCCTGGGGCGTGTCCTCTGCAGAGAAACCGGAAAGACAGTGAGGGTGGGGGCGATGTTGACATGGTCTCGCAGCCCACAGCCCACGAGGTGCTGGTGACAGAGTGACGTCACACGCTTCCCTTCTGCCCGCCCTGCCTGCAGGCACGCCAGTTGCCCACAGGCTCCCGTGAGGCTCTGCTGAGTGAGGGGGCGTTGCCTTCCAGAACCTCTGGGCTTTGCAGGCTGGACGAGGCAGGCATCTGGGTGGCCCGGGGAGGGGGATGCACTAAGCACCCAAAGAGAGATGTTAGCAGGATGATAAATTAGGTGTTCAAATGCGGCAAACTCTTTCTCCGCCTCTGTTTCCAGCTGGTTGATGCTGGATTTTCTTCTGCACATTTCTATGGAAATACATCGTTGCTGTGGCTTGTAATTTTCTAGCTGAATAACTTCAGGGCAGGCCTACTTTGGAATTTAATTACCCTTTCACTGGGCAGGCTTTACGGCTTTACTGAGATTCAGCTCAGAGACTGGATGACGCCAGGCGCCTTGTGATACTTCTCGAGGAGCGCTCATGGCTTCAGTATGTGGCTATTTTGAGGGTCGCTTGATACCATGTTCTTTTGATGGCCCAGGAGTGGCGATGGATGGGTCTTCAACTCAATTCTGCCCAGTCACTATGGTGCAGCAGGGGGGTGTCTTGTGTGCTGGACAGCTAACAAGAGCTTTTGAGGCCAGGCCCTGATTTTGGCAAAACCCGAATGCGTAGCTCCACCGTGCTCTATAGGGAAGGCCAAGCTCAATGTACAAGTCAACTAGGGATGCACGGAATGGAAGAGGCTGGACGCTCCCAGTACCGATGACATCTGCCGAGAGGGAAATTGGGGGTGAAAGCTACGCAGAGCTAGCCTTCTACTAACCAGGGTCCAGCGTGAGAATATAAAACGTGGCTGTCCAGAGTAGGGCTGCTGAAGACAGCTCACAGGCTGCCTGGCGATCAGCAGGGCAGGGAGCTGTGATTGATTAGTAATGTCTGCTCTGGACTCCAGAAGGGACTAGGCATCCAAGTGCCGTGTGTGTCACCTAATCACTTCTTAGACACCTCCCAGGTGCTGGGCCCTGTGCTGGGAGCTTTCTCAGATGTTCCCCCCACCATTCACTCTCAGAGTGACTTGGAAGGAAGTGGGAGCACTCTTCTGGGGTAGCTGTTCACGGAAAGCTGTTAAGGAATCAAAGGCAGGATCCAAAATGAAACATGCTGTGTGATTACAATGATCAATTATAATTACCATTGAAAATTGTACCTATTAATTTATGATGAAACACCGTCAATAATGACAAGCAAGTTTTAATATATATGGAGAGGAAGAACCCGGAAGGAAATGGAATGTTCATACTGGTTATCACTGTGTGGTGCGGCTGTGGCTGGATTTTATTTTCCTCTAGGCTTATCTGTATTTTTCCATTTTTCAGAATGACCCACATTCCTTTTTTGAGCATACATAAATTATATGTGTGGGTGTGGGTGTGTGCATTTTAAAATGTTATATATAGAGAGCGATTTGGTAGCCTGCATTTTTCACTTCGTGAATTCACCAGGAATATTAATGACTCCTTCTCAATGTAATTCTTAGTAGCTACTTAGAGTAACGCTAAACCTTTTGCTTCATCTGGACTGAAACATTTGGGCAAGGGCCCTCACAATCACCTCCCGAATTTTCTAACCCTGAACAAATCTTGACCTTCTTTGGAAGGGGTGAGCAAAAGATGAAAAGTCACCAGAGATCCAAAATGCTTAGCAGCCCCAAAGAAGGGCATCCTTCTAAGGAATCACAGACACAGTCATCTTGGGAGGTGGATCGCTACAAGAAGTTGAGAAACTTGCTGATGACTTCCGGCATGATCCAGGAAGCCTGGGCTTCTGTAAACTAAGAATGGGCATTTACAAAGAAGGAGTAAACTGATATCTGAAGAGACTCCATGGGATCTCGAGCCCTGAGCTTTTCCGATCAGCGGGCACTGGGGGATGTGTGTAGCCCAGCACCTGGCACAGAGATGCTCAAAATGTGCTGTTATAATTTTTTTCACATTTTTATTGAAATTCCAGGTAGTTAACATACACTGTAATACTAGTTGCAGGTGTACAACGTAGCGATTCAGCACCTGCATACGTCACCCGGTGCTCATCCAAGTGCCGTCCTGAACCCCATCACCTGTTTTCACCTGTGCCCTCCACCCATGTTGTTGTCATTTTAAAAATAAAATTATAGGGGCGCCTGGGTGGCTCAGTCAGTTGGGTGTCCGACTTCGGCTCAGGTCATGATCCCGTGGTTTGTGAGTTCGAGCCCCACGTCGGGCTCTGTGCCGACAGCTCAGAGCCTGGAGCCTGTTTCTGAGTCTGTCTGTCTGTCTGTCTCTCTCTCTCTCTCTGCCCCTCCCCCGCTCATGCTCTGTCTCTCTCTCAAAAATGAATAAATGTTACAAAAAAAATTTTTAAGAACATAAAATTATAGTTATAACACAAAGTATCTATTTTTTAAATGATTTAGTAACTTTGACTTCTTAGGAATCATGCTAAAAGTGAGGGTTTTGAAACCCTCTAGTTTGTGCGAATCTGCCAAGCCAGGGTCTTCTTTCCATCTCTGTAGACACAGGCGGGGTGCAGACCAAGCCCAGACTGTTGCAGTGAGAGTGGCTGAGCCCGCCAGGGTCCCGCCATGTGCCCCGGAGGGGATCAGGGTCCCCTCTGATGGCTTCATTTCTCTGGGGGAGCCATTGTAGTTAGCGTGTCGGGGCCATTCCATGTGGCTCGCGGCTGGGGGGCTGGGCAGCTCCCTCTGATGTTGGTAGGCGGACGGTCGTCATCACCGCATGCACATGGGGGAGAGGAAGGCCCAAAGAAGCGCACCGGCGTTTAGGCAGGTGCAGTGCTAAGCATTCTGAGAACATTGTCATTTAAAGTTCAAAACGCCTGTGCAAGGCATGGATTCTTCTTCTTTTACAAGTAAGGCGCTTGAGGCAACGAGTGACTCTCTCAAAAACCAAAGGTAGAGCTTGGCCCACGCTGGCATTGAGTCCTGGTCCTGGGAGAGGGCCAGGGGTGAGACAGTCAAGGAGCTCATTCAACAGCATAACATATGTAAAGTGCCTAGCTCAGCAAGTAAGAATTTCTCTGCTTTTGCATAGCGGGACGGCAAAGCGACGCGCAGTTTCAATGTAAACACAAAACTAACCACAAGTCCCGCTGTGCAGAGCAGTCAGGACCTGAAATCTAACTGTGGCTGGGCCTTGGCGGCTGTGCAGGCTGCCCTTGGCAGAGTGCTTTAAAATAGGGTGCACAGGGGCGCCTGGGTGGCTTAGTCGGTTGAGCGTCCGACTTTCTCTCAGGTCGTGATCTCGCGGTTCGTGGGTTCGAGCCCCGCGTCGGGCCCTGTGCTGACTGCCAGCTCGGAGCCTGGAGCCTGTTTCAGTCTGTGACTCCCTCCCTCTCTGACCCTCCCCTGCTCACGCTGTCTCTCTCTCTCCTAGAAATAAATAAAACATTAAAAAAAATTTTTTTAATAAATAAAATAAGATAAAACAGGGTGCACAAGCCAAACAAAGCAAACAAGGAGAGGATGGGGGAGGGGTGGCTCTCTAGTTCCAGGGCAGGTGGGGCGCAGGATGAGCATGCGGCTCGTCTAGGCTTCTGATCTTTGGAACGGCCCACAGGCCAGCTCCTGATGGGAGGTAAAGCTCAGAGCACGGGCAGTAAGGCCCAGTGGCCTCCGCTTCTGCTTGTCTTCCATCCCTGGGAGCATTTGGGTCCTGAGAGGGTGTCCGCCGTCGAAGGCAAGGGGGAGACAGACCAGGTGCTCAGCCAGCCGCCCCCAGGCATGTGCTTCGGGGACCCCGGCACGGCTTCCCGGTGGGGAAGGGAAGAGTGGGAGGCATGGAGGCCCAGCGCCTGGGTCACCTCAGAGCGGGACGCAGTGTTCCCACCCCCACAGTGGGCTCCAGGGGTAAGTGGGGCGTGAGGGAGCCCGTATGGGAGGAGTGCGGGCTTCAGGCCAGAGTCACCCAGGAAACAGGCAGGCAGAGCAGGGGCGCCGAGCCAGAGGGCCAGGCAGTGGAGTGGGGGGGCTGGGCCACGGGCCACGGGGAGGTGACAGGAGCTGTTTCCACTCTGACTTCGCTGCATGAAGCAGTGGAAGTGTCTTATTCATGGATCCTTAGACGACTCGACACAGAGCTGGTCAAGCAAATCACTGATGAATGAATGAATGACTCAGTACATTTATCTCAGGATTGTAAAAATAGAAGCAGATCTCCAATAGGCAATCTCCAGCCAGTGTGGGGGTTACTAATGTCCTTTGCGGAGACCCCTCCAAACACGAGCCATTCATATAGCCTGTTAGCCCTTAAAAACAGAGAGCACCCCATTTCCCTCACCCGTGAGATCGTCGGGAGTTTCCTCCAATCAAATTCTCCTCCCTTGCAGATTGCCGCTTAACATCTCTGTGCTTATTCCCCAATTTGCAAGACGGCATGGAGTAGTAAGTACCGGTTAGATTGTGCGTGGTGAGTTAATACCATGAGCTCACGTGGGCTGTGGGCGTTATTGACATGATCCTCAGGACCCTGGGAAGTAGGTTGTATTGTTGATGCCCATTTCGCAGATGAGGAAACCGAGACCGGGAGAGGCTGAGTCTCTTGTCTGAGGCCTGTCACTGATGAGGGCCAGACTCACGATCCGAGTCCAGAGAGTGACTCCCAGACTCCAGCCCACCTCACGCTGCCTCTTGGTGTATATCTGTTAGCACTCTGCTGCCAGCTGGGGGGACACTCGCTTTATCTACTCTCTGAGATCCATACTGAATGTCTTCTCTGCTTAGACAAGCTCTTCTGTTTTCTGGTGTTATGATAACAAACAAACAAATAAACAAATGAAATTTGGGGGCAGACAGCAGCATTTGAGGTAAATATGCTTGACACAGAGCTGTTCTGGGTTTGGGGTTGTGAACATTTCAAAAGGTTTATTAAATGAAAAAATCTTTTCTTTTGTTAATGTTAGTTTATTTTTGAGAGAGAGAGAGACAATGTGAGCAGGGGAGGGCCAGAGAGAGAGGGAGACACAGAATCTGAAACAGGCTCCAGGCTCCGAGCTGGCTGTCAGCACAGAGCCCGACGCGGGGCTCGAACCCACGAACCGTGAGATCATGACCTGAGCCGAAGTCGGATGCTTAACCAACTAAGCCACCCAGGCGCCTCTTAAATGATAAAATTCCTTAGGAAATTTTCTCTGTGGCCTTTTAAAAAGTGTTCTAATTTTATTTTCTCCTTGGAAAATACCTCTATCGAAGATCTGCCTTTAAAAACGAATCACTAGGACGGGGTTAGGTTTCAGAGATGAGTAATCTAATTCCCACTGCGTTCCTGAATCTTGAATGTGCCTCCCAGCCGTACGTATGTCCCTCCGGCTTGTCACATCCTAGCCCAGAAAGCTTCAGCGCCTCTGAGTCCCTGGAGCCTGCCATCAAGTTCTATTCCTGCGTCTGGGGCCCCTGCAGTCTGGCTCCTTCCCCACTGTCCTCACTCTGTTGGGCTTTGCTCCCCCCCCTTCCTCTGGGCCACCCCCTTCCCAGAGCCTCAGCCGCCTGGGCACCCTGGTTCCTCTTATGGGTCCTCTATCACCTTGAGTGGCCGGTTCAGGTCCTCCCCACCCGTCTCCATTCCCCTGTTCCTTTGGGCCGATAGCAGCCCCGGGCTCTTGATTGAAGTCTGTGTCTCCATTGCCAATGCCAGAAACGTCCTCAGCTGGGCAAAAGTGAGAGGGAATTTACTAGGGGGAGTCTGGCGCTTTCAAAATAGGGGCTGCGGAAGGTCTGCCGGCCTCCAGGAATGCTCCCCGACTGTTCTCGCCTGCATCCGGGTCTGCCTTCTCAGAGCCGCTTCATTCACTTACTCACGGATTCATTCATCCTTCATTCATTCATCCGTCATTTACGGAACAGAGGCCATCCTAGCTGCTAGACACCAGGATGAATCAATAAAACGTGGGCCTTGTCCTCAGAGAGCGCATGGTCTACTCACACTCGATGCTGATGACGACTGGATCAAAGAGATGTGAACGGAGTGTTATTAGGGTCTCAGGAAGGAGCTACTAACTCAGTCTGGGGTGGGGGCGCCAGGAAAGACTTCCGAGTTTGTGCAGAGCAAGATTCGAACTTGAGCCAAACCACGGGCGTGGCCAAGGAGGGCCAGCTGAAGAACCAGACGCCCTTCCTTGATGGGTGTACAGGCTGGGGCGGGAGGCCAGAGGAATAAGCCGGTCGGGGCGAGGAGCCCTTGGGGACCATGACACGACCCCGTGGCATCTTCCTCTTGTTAGGCACTCATGCAGTAGTCAGCAAGGTGCCCTTGAGAGCCAGCCTGGCTGCGTTCAGGCTCTGCTGAGTTCTAGCCCTCCTGGCTGTGTGACCTCGGGCAAGCTGTTTAGCCTCTCGGAGCCTGACTTTTCCCATTAGAAAAATGGGGAGAAATAGCTGTCCCCCCCCTCCTGGGGTTGTCATGAGGGTTAAAGTGAGTTAGTGCCTAACACACTTAGACCGACATCTAGCCAAAGTAAATACCAGCTGTCACATTGGCTATTATGTAACGCCTGACTCTGCCTCCAGCCTCCTGCCGGGTTCTTTTCCATAAATTCTCTCAATCAACTCGGACAAAGACCCCGGGAGCTAGGCATTATTGATCTGATTTACAAATGAGAAGTCTATTTCTAGCTCCCCCTCTGAAATTTTAGACCCCTTCGCGGGTTCTGTTCTATTTCCGTCCGCGCCGCACCCCGTCTGTGCCGCGTGAGGCCTGCCAGAGACGGGAGGGGCGAGGTCTGTGCGAGACGCGCGAGCAGTTACGTTAGGGCGGCAGCGGGGCCTGCCGGGGGCCTGCTCCAGTTACGGGAGAGGGCTCCGGCGCAGCCTCCCAGCCCCACTCCCCGCCCTGGTGGCAAACGTGCCTTCTGAGATTTGTTTAAAGTCAGCGATTCGGGGCGCCTGGGGGGCTCAGTCGGTTGAGCGTCCGACTTTCGCTTGGGTCATGGTCTCGCGGTTCGTGGGTTCGAGCCCCGCGTCGGGCTCTGTGCTGACTGCCAGCTCTGAGCCTGGAGCCTGTTTCAGTTTTTGTTTCTCTCTCTCTCTCTGACCCTCCCCTGCTCACGCCGTCTCTCTCTCTCTCTCCTAGAAATAAATAAAACATTAAAAAAAATAATAATAAAGTCAGCGATTTGGCAGGGAGGAGCTGGGTGGATGGGATGGTGAGGGGAGCCGCCCGCTTGCCTGAGTGGGATGCCTTGGGGACAGGCGAGAACTTACAGCAGGTGCTGCCACGGGCGGGTCCCCCGGCCCCCATCGCAGGACATTACAAGGGTCCGTGGGGCCGGCGTCCTCCCCTCCCTGGGCCGGCGCCCCCTCCTTGCCGTCTCAGCCGCTGCCCGGTGGGAGGAGGGCCCGCGGTGCGCACCCGACAAATGGGTTTCCTCCTACAAATCCTGGGTCGCTGGACGCCTTCCTAACACGATGAGCAGACCTCTCTTCCACTGGGCGCTCAGCTCGCCCCTTAATGAAGCTCGCCGCTGCTTTGGAAAAGGGCAGGTGGGAAAGAGCCTGGTGTCTTCTACTCTAAGTGCTTTAGGCGGGTTCATTTCCACCTCCTGACGGCCTCGTGCGGGAGCGGTTGTGACCCCGGCAGCGAGCACGGTCCCGGCCAAGCCCTCAGCCCCGGAGGCAGCAGGCGCCGGCATCCTGGGTGGTGTAATGCTCTTAATCTAGCACCGGGCCCCGTCTTTCAAGGCTTCGGTGGCTGCAGGCCCGTGTCCCTTCCCCGCACCCTTCCAGGGGCTCCTACACAGTGTGGGAAACCGAGGCCCTCACGCATCCAGGAGCCCGTTTCTGGGAGGGCTGGAGCGTAAAGCCGGGGCTCTAGGCCGCAGGTGGGCCATCCGTGGCACCGGAGGGAACAGCTTCACAGCAGGCAGGTGCTGAGCCCTCTCTCTGTACCAGGAAGACCCACCGTACCTGACACACGTGGTCACGTATGTGACAGTGTGCTCACCGAGGCTGCTGGTGGCAGGTTATCCCCATTTGATAGGTGAGCAAACTGAGACCTGTACGGTCTAGTCACTGAAACGATGAACAAGCAGAGGAATACAGGGAGACAGGGTTGTTCCGATAGAGGGAAGCCCCACTTGGGGAGACTGAGGCACGGCCGCACCAGCCCCGGCTCAGGAGCTCTGAGAAGTCGTGCCGCACGCTTGTCTCAAGGGCTGCGTGCGCTTCCCTGGGAGCCGCCCCACCTCCCAGGGCCGGATGCCAGGCAGGCCATCTGCTCCGGGGCCGGGCCTCCCCCCCCACCCAGGCATCGCCTTCTCCCGGAACGACTGTCTCCCCACGGGCCGCAGCCGTTAAAGAAGTTCCAGGAAAAAGATCTTCGCCAGCCTCTCCTGCAACCTAATTTCTGCCGCTGTGGGTATTGCCTCGTCTGCACAAATGACCCTGCTAATTTTCCGCTGCGGTTCTCTGTGGAGGGTTGCAGAATGCCAGGGGAGGGGGGGGAGGGGGCCGCTTGCCGGGCACCTGCTGAGAGCCCAGCCTGCAGGGTCCTTGACAAACATCATCCCTCATCTCCCCCTCCATCCTCACAGCAGCCCCGGAGGCTTCCAGAAGTCAGACCCACTCACGGCTCTGCTCTGAGCCATCCTCTGTAAGGAGAACCCCCCCCCCCCAGTTCCTTGCTCCTGGAACCCTGCAGCTCCGGCCGCCTCACTTCCCAGCCGCCACCTCAGGCTCCCTGCGGTCCCCTCCCTCTGCGTTGAGGGCGCTGCTCACAGGACAGGGCTGCACGTGTGTCCTCTGCGGCCGTCTGTCTGTCTGGCTGCACTGTGAGCGTGTGAGGGCAGGGACAGGCCCTTTCTCCCTCCCTGGGTCCCTGGCGCCTGGCGCTTGGTAAGCTGCGGCTCAGTGTTCGGGCGGCCTCAGTCAAGGTTCCCTGTCACTGCCGCCCTGCAAGCGCGGGCTCGGAGCCACCGGGTGACGTGCACGGTGACGCCGGAATCGAACCGGGTCCTCCCGACTTCAGTTTGCCCTGTGGACAGCCTCCCAGCAACCTCGGTGTTTACGTAACCACGCCCCGGTTCCTTCCTGCTGGATGTTTTCAAGCACAAATGTAATCACAACAGCTTGTGAAACCCCGAAGGAGAAGTTCCAAGTGGGGTCAGCACCCGGTGGTGAAGGGGAGGCTCCATCAGACGCCGGGGCTGGGGCTTTCCCTTCCCCCCAGGGAGACAAAAACGCACAGCTGGGGGGGGGAGGGGGGCTGGGGGCGTGGCCAGGGAGGCAAGGGGGGCACGCTCCGTCCAAACGGTAGATGACACCCCTGCCTTCGTGAACGCATTCAGAGGGGGGTTAGGGAACATGTGCCGGACAAGTGGTTTTGGACTCTCACAAGGGCTCAAGGGATGGTCTCCACTGCAGAGGTCACAGAAGGCCTGAGGCCCCCGTGACAGTCCCGGCCGCCGCGTGTGCCCTGCGCAGACCGGGAGGGGCCCCTAGCAGCCCTCAGCAGGGCAGAGGCTCTGAGGTGGGAGGGGGCTGCGGGGCCCGCACCCTCAAGTCCGTTTTCAGTGACAGCGCGTTAACCCGAAGTCGGCCGTGAGGCAGCATGTACACCGTGAAAACTGGCAAACCAGCCCCCCAGCTGTTCGACTCGGAGCAGCAGCGCACCCCGGTTGGCGGTTGGCGGTTGGCGTCTGTGGGCATCGGAAAGGAGGCCACAGGCAGAGGGGAGGGGGGAGGGGAGGATGTTATCGCAGAGGCAGGAGCTTTGTTCTCTTGCAACCAGAAGTCTCTGAAGGGTTTAAGGCAGAGGAGTGAAGGGATTTGATTTTCACTTTGCCAGACCGATTCTCGGAACAAAGGCTCGGGTCCAGGGACCGTAGGGTGGGGAGGTGGGGGAGCCCCAGCTCTCAGAACAGGGGCCCAGGCAGGAGCGGAGTGCACCAAGGAAGGAGGGCTCCACTTGCCGCAGGGGCAGCTTAGGGCCAGGAAGAGGCCGTTTGTCCCAACGTGTCTGGGACGTGGCTGGTCTGGTTCGGGAATGAGGGAGGGGTGGGGGAGGGCGCGAAGCCTGCAGGTGATGCCTCACCCATGCAGAGAAGGGCTGGGAAGCCTCCGCTGCCTGCAGCAGGGCCGCCACTCAGTCCGCCTCGTTCCCAAAGGGAAGGCAGCAGCAAGCTCCCGCGGCCTCTGTATGGCTCCACATAGAGTGTGTGGTTTACCCGGCGTGTTCTCTGGGGAGGCCGTGGCTCCAAAGTGGCTGTAAGCCTCCGGGCCACTGGCTGCATTCTTGCCACTGGTCAGTTCCACGAGGCATCCAAGCGGTACGGTCGCCCAAGCTGCGCACTGTGACAGAGGTGTTCTGCCCCTCAGAGCCCCTGGGGGGCTTTTCCTAGCCCAGACCAGTTAAACCCGGAGGTTCTCCTGGGGGCGGGACCTAGGCAGCACCCCAGGCGACTTCAAGCTGTAGCAAAGTTGAGACCCACTGGATCATAAGACATTTCTGTAGGGTCAGAGGCCGAGTATCTTTCCACATCATGCTTAAGGGGTAGACTCAATTAACAAGCAGTCCCGGGCATAATGGCGGGGCCCTGTGCCACTCCTTGGGGCGCTACGGGAAACGCTGAAGGCCTCCGCCAGCACACGGGACCCTGACCGCAGTGGGGGGCCGACTGGAGCGTGACCCGGCGCGTGGCTGGCTCGTCTGCATCAGCTGTGGGCTGAATTAATACAGCAGCCGCCGCATCCCCAGAGGATGTGAAAGTGCCCGCGCCATCCCTTCTGGAAGCCCTTTAGCAGATGGGAGATGACTACTTAGGGGTTCCAGCCAGGCTCCTCCGGAGCTGAGGGGAGCTCCCCAGCCGACCCCAGAAGTGTCAGGTGGACGGGTGTGACCCGCCCAGATCGATGTCCAACCAAGAGCAGCCGGCTAGGTGCTCCGCGGAGCAGCGAAGACGGTGTGAAACGGTTCTCTGATTTTTTAGGGGGAGGGCAGGGGGGACGGATGCCCAAGGCAGATGAGGCTAACGCTGGCATTTTGTGCACCGTCCAAATAAAACGTGCAGCCCGGCGAAATAAACCCGTGCCGTCCTGTCCCTACGTGACCTGGTGAGAGTTGTCGAAAGGAACGGGCTTTGGAGTGAGGTGTTTGTTCCCTTAGCATGCGTCTGCCTGCCCCTCTCCGGCACCGCCAAGCTGCGATACGGCACTGGTTCCGCCAGAGGCAAGGCGGGCATGGCTCCTGGACGCTGAGCTGACCTTGAGGTGGAGGAGAGAGCCAGGAACCAAGCGCGCCGGTGAATCACAAAAACAATGGCAAACTGTGATGTGCAGTTACAAACCAGTGCAAATTATGGTGAAATGTGCTGTGTGCTCAGGAGCTGGTGGGGGTCAGAAACACACATGGGAGGGAGGCCGCCCCAGGTGGGATGGAGGAGAGGCCTCCTGCGTGAGGAACAGCCATGGGAGATCTGGGGGAGAGCGTTCCGGGAGAGGGGGTTGGCCAGGCTGCAGGCCCTGAGGCGGGAGGAGCCAGGGGCTGCTGAAGCATGACTGACGGCCCCTCGTGAGGACAGGGAGGTGAGCTGGGAGTCGGCCGTGGGGAGTGTGGAGGCAGGCAAGGGACAGGATGACTTGTATTTGGAGCCCACGGGTGGCCCGTTGAAGACCCAAAAGCCAGACGTGACATGCTCTGATCTACATTTGCTGTGTGACTTGGGCGATGAATGCACCTTCTCTGATTTGCATTCTCGGCTGTAAGGAAATCAAACCATAATTCTGACTCTAAGGGTCAGAAATCTTGTATGTGTTCTTAACGGAGGAACTGACGCCCGGTAAACGCTGGGACAATGCGGCTGTTGCTCTCCCCCTTCCCCCTTCTCCCCGTCCCGTCTCCACTCCTCCCCGCCCTCCCCCCTCCCGCAGCATTGCCAGAAGTGGATGTGTGCAGCTCACAGCGTTCCCTCTTCGCCCGAAGGGGCCCTCCGGCATCCCGTGGGGCTCATGCCAAGAACATGAGTCCTGACAGCTGTCTGTTTGGGATCTAAATGCCCTTTTGCCTCAACCCCCGCGTGGCCGGGCCGACTCCGGCTAGTGGACGAGCTGGGGTGAGTCCCAGCGAGGCAGCGCCACTGCCTGTGACCCAGAGTCACCCTGCCGCACTGAAGCCTTCCCGGGGCCACCGGGTGCCCAGCCCCGCCCTGCGTCCAGACCCCCGGGCTCCTCCATTTCTCTTCACAGCCTTCGATCGTTCGTTCAGAACGGCTCCTCCGTGAGCCCCGAAGTGTGCTGGCCACCAAAGCAAAGCAAGGGACACGTCTTTGCACGTCCTCGAGGAGGCTGTGACGGGTGGGGGAGGTGGGCAGAAAGCGCTGCCCGCCCTGCGTTCACAGACCACAGAGGAGACCTCGCAGAGCCTGTTGGGGCTTGTAAAGCCTTCCTCGGATGACGGGGCCGGTCAGGCTGGGTCTTGACGTACGGGGAGGGGTTTGCCAGACGGAGAAAGGGGGGAGAGAGCCTCCCACATGATACAAATCCCAGCCGCCTGTCGGAGGCCGAGTGTTGAAATAAAACCATCACACACAAAACTGGAAGAGCTGCGTGTCCGTTCGGGCCCTTCTCATCCCAAGGGACAGAAAAGCCGGCGACCGGGTCGGGGGGGGGAAGGCTGGACTCAGGTCGGGCTGGATCAGGCCTCAAGCGGCAGCATTAGGACGCGGAGCCCCTCCTTCGCGCGGCTCTCTTCTGTTGGGTTGACTCATCCTCCGCTTTTGCCCGATGACTGGAGCCGCCTTCTCCTGGCCACTTGGGCCAGAGCTCTGGGGTCCCAGTCAGCCTGGCTCGAGTCACCTGCCTGCCCCCAAGGCCATTACTGTGGCCCTTGCCCTGGAGCGTCCTGATTGGCTGAGGTCTGGGTCGCGTGGGCAGCCGGCCTGGAGGAAGCTAGCACGCGCACTGTGCCCGGTGCGTTGGCAGGAAGTGGCTTCCGGGCCCTCACACGCCCCCTCCTCCACCAGGGGAGATGGTATTCTCATTCCTAATTTACAGGCCAGGGAGTGAAGCATCATGGGATGGCTCCTTTGCCGGGACTTGAACTCCATTCCTTGTGGCCCTGAAGCCTGGCATTTTTTTTAACTAAAAAAATTTGTGTAATGTTTATTTGTTTTTGAGAGAGACAGAGGATGAGTGGGGGAGGGGCAGAGAGAGAGGGAGACACAGAATCTGAAGCAGCTCCAGGCGCCCAGCTGTCAGCACAGAGCCCGACGTGGGGCTCGAACCCGCGAACCTTGAGATCATGACCTGAGCCGAAGTCGGAAGCTTAGCCGACTGAGCCCCCGGGTGCCCCGCCCGGAGGGCTCGCGGAAAAACGGCAGCGCCCTCTCCTCATGCCAGCCAGCGATTCAGCCTTGGGGTCTGGGGTCGCGCAAGCTCCAAGCTGCGCTCGGCGCTCGGCGGCCGGCCGCCTTCCTAACCGGGCTCCCTCTCACCCCGCAGGGCCCTCATCTTTGTGTCGCATGGAGCCGGGGAGCACTGTGGCCGCTATGACGAGCTGGCTCAGATGCTGGTGGGGCTGGAGCTGCTGGTGTTCGCCCACGACCACGGTGAGTACCCCCGGGGCCCGGGGCCCGCGCGGCGGCCGCCACCTGGCAGTTTGGGCACCCCTCCTGTCCCCTCCCTCCTCCGTCCTCCCCTGCGAGCCCCGCGGTGGCCCTGGGAAGCGACGTTCTCCATGGAGTGTTTCTGAGTTAAAAAAAAAAAAAAAAAAAGGCATCATTATGTAAACAACAAAAAAATATGTCTGACCAGCAGTTTCTGTGAGTCTGGGATTGAATGCAGGCTGATTAGGAATCTCGACTGAAAGAAGCCAGAGTCAGAATCTGTTTATACAAGAACCTGCCCCAGGCTAAGGAACCCTCTCGCGTGGAGAGCACTTCCGGCACAAAACGGGCCGGTTTTCTCCCAGGCGACTCCAGATGGATGTGGCACGAGTGCAGTCCAACTCCAGGTGACCACCACGCATTTTCCAACCCTTTCAAACCTGCAGGCTAGTGAGAGTCTCAAGGGACATGGCAGTCAGACGCAGGAAAACCGCAAATGCACACGCGTGTGCACACACACACACACGCACACGCACACGCACACACCCAGGCCGAGTCTTTGATTCTTTGTCCTATAACAAAATCCACGGTCACCATCAAAACGCCGCGTGTATTGTCCAAGTCAGTTACGCCGCACCTTTGTCACTTTCGTCACTTTCTTCAGGGCTCGGAAGCCTCCGGGCTCAGGTCTTTCTTTGCCTAAGAGTCTTTGAGACGAAGGTTCCCTGTGACCGAACGTGGGGACTTCTCCGTGACTCCGATGTGGAAATCCGTCATCCCGGCCCAGACCCGGCAACGTGGCTTCCATGTTGTGTGATCGGAGAATAGCTGACTGAGTGGCATTGCTGAAAACAGGGAGGGGGCAGTGACCGGGGGTCCTTGCAGAAGGGAGGGGGAGTGTGCCGGCACGGAGGGACGCCCGGGGGGCCAGGGGCTGGCCGGGGCGTCTGGGGGCCCAACTGCACATGCGGCTCGCCAAGAGCCCTTTGTAGGCCGTCGGCGCCCAGGCGTCCTCGTACCTGAGAGTAGTGACTGACCCCTTTCTCACTGTGGCTGTAACGTTCTTCGGTGCCTTCTGCTGGGCTGTGACAGTCGCGGGCTATCCCGATTTTCACGATGGGGACCGTGCCATCACTCACTTGGGCACTTTTCGCAGTGTGGGATAGGAATGCCTCTCTTTGAGGTCTCCAAAACAGCCTCTAGGACTGCGGTGTAGCCTTCTGTGGCTTGTTCTAAACAGAGTTCCAAGCCACTTGTGTTCACCCGTTTTAAGTGCCTCGGGCTCTCGACTTCTTCCCACGACTCGTTGGAAATACCTCCGGCCGTGGCCACAGGGAGGTGTTTTGTTCAAGAAATGAACCCAGTTGGGCGTGCGTGCGAGTGGGTGGCCATCCGAGGACAAACACGACCACCAAAGCCGCGGGAGCGGGCCGTCCACGCGGGGCCTCGTACAGGCCGGAGAAGTGGCTCCTGGCCGCCGGCGATCTGTGCTGTATTCCTTCCCACTGACAAATGTGGAGGAGAGATGGGAGCCCAGGGCTGTGGCGTCGGAAGCCCGGCCTCCTTTATGACGAGCTGCAGGTTATCCGGTGTTCGGGCCGGGCGTGAACACACGCAGCGACACACAGCCTTCGTGCCTCCCAACACAGCTTTGAGGTGTAGACAGAGCCTACATGGGGAGAATGTCGGGCATTTACGGGGCCCGTGGAGACACACACAGGATTCAAAAAGGCAGGGCTGGGAAGTGTTCAAGGGCCCATGGCCTCTGCAGGGTGAGACCCCGGCCCCCCGTGGGTTCGGGCTCACGGCCACCCTGCATTCCTGTGCAATGTCAGAGGCACCCTCACCCCAGACAGCAAGAGGCCTCCGGCGCAAACATACCTCCGTCCATGTCCCCACTAGGCTGTGACCCCAAGATTGCAGAGACCTTACTAACCCACCCCAAGCCTCTGTCTTCTCATCTGTCAAATGGGCAGGCAGTGCTCTAATACACCAAGGACTGTTGTGAGGTGATGCACAGAGGGGTCTCCCGTGTTCCCCTGAGCAGCCTCCGCCAGGTGCTCAGCGTGTATCGTGCTCGGCATCCTGAGTGGTGACGCCTTCCTCCGGAGGAGACTGCGGGACTGTGTCGTGTGTCCCTTGCTGGCCCCCAGGAGGGTGGCAAGGTGGCTGGGTCTTGTCAGATGGGTGGGAGCCCGTCCGGGGAAGAAAGGCTGTGGCGAGAGCCCCCGTCATTGAGATCGGTGGTCCTCACTCCGGCGGCCCCACTGACGTCACCGTCCTGGGAAGTGCTGCCCCCTGGGCCCTCCCTCCACCGAGACCTGCACTCCTTCAGTCTCTGATGTGGCCGGGGCCAGCGAGGCTTCCGGAATCCCCCCAGGGGGGTCTAACGTGCAGCCAAGGTTACGAGCCACAGTTCTAGGCAGAGCAGACCGTACAGGCCGAACGTGGACACACAGTATTACGTGCTTACGTCCTACTCAGGGAGATCCGGGCCCAGCGTTCAGGTGGGTCCCAAAGGTGAGAAGCAGTTACAGGGGGGGCGGGGGGAGCCGGAGCCTGCGAAGCTCGGGCTCTGCTGTGAGTCCCTTTGGACACTTGGAGCCCGTGGGGACGTTGACGCAGGGGTGACAGGCTGGTGCCAGCACCGGGGGGGCCACCAGGAGACTTTGGGAGCCGTCAGGAGACGGCCCGGGGCGCGGCCGAGGCAGAGGTGTGGGCGGGTGGCGGGGGTGGGGGGCTCCCGGGACGCCTGAACAGGTGGAAACCCCAGGAGACGGGATTTTCTGCTCGGGTCTAAACATAGCGCGGAGAAGCCGGGCCCGTGCTTTCGCCGTCCCTCGGCCGCCAGCTGCTCGCCGTGACTCACTGGAAACCCCTGGGCCTCCACGCCAGCTCCGGGCCGGGTGACCGCGAGGGAGGGGGCTCCCCGGCCACGCTGCAGGTGCGGGCCCCCCCCCCGGCCCGTAGCCTCCCCACCCGGACGCCCGCCTCAGAGTCGCACAGGCCGAGCAGGAGCCCCCCCCCCTTTACAAAGTATAAAAGAGCCCTTCTCCGCTGATCAACAGTGAATTAATTATCCGCAAATATTTGAGGGAAAGTGTTCGAGGGAGTTTGTGTGTTGCATCTCCTGTGACCGGCTGTGGCGCGTGAGGAGAGGAAGTTCTGGGGAGCGTTTGCGTGCGCCCTGTGTGCTCTGTGGGGGGCCTGCCCCGCCCCACGAGGGGTGTCGGGAGCCTCGGGGGCGGAGGGGAAGATGACTCCGGTGTTTTCCAAACAAGGAGACAGTTGGAGTCAAGGTCCCCTCGCGGGACCTGTTCTAAGGTCTCCATCCGTTACGGTGACGTATTTTGCGCGTGTGAAATGTTTGAGAAACGTGTCAGCCTTTCCTGCCTCAGTAAATACCAAGCGAGAGCCACGGAGCCGGGCGGGCTCTGATGGTCAGGCGTTCAGGGGGCCCAGCTCCGAGGACGGGCCCCGCGAGGGCGCCGCAGGGATGATGCGGAAGGGGCTGAGGGTGGGCCGCGCACTGGCCGTGTCCCTGAGGGGGCTCTGCCCTCCCTCCCTCCGTCCCCCTCGTCCTCCCGTATGATCCGGGGGGGCGAGCACCCCCGGGCCTCGCATCGTGGGTATGGGCACTGACGTGAGTGTGTGGCCACTTGCCTCTTTCTTGAATCAAACACTAACTCCCATGGCCTCAGTTGGCTCGTCTGGTGATCATCATCATCATCATAATAAGGTGATGATGTTGTGGGAGACGGTGAGAGGGAGCAGGGCTCACAAACTCCAGGAGGCAGCAGCGGAAGCTTGTGGAAACGCACACGGCCGGACCCACCCCCAGAGTTTCTGACTCAAGGGGGAAAAATTGCAAGAAGGGGACCAGGTTCATCACAGGTGTTTCTTACATAGAATTTCTTTAAGATGACAGGGTAGATGCCGTTAAAATTGGAAATGTCATGTTTTTTAGGTTTATTTAATTTGAGAGAGAGAGAGTGGGAGCGAGAGAGTGCGCAAGCATGAGCAGGGGAGGAGCAGAGGGAGAGGGAGAGGGAGGGACAGGACCCCAAGCAGCTCTCTGCTCTGTGCTGAGCCCGACACGGGGCTCGATTTCATGACCGTGAGATCATGACCTGAGCGGAAATCAACAGTGGACACTTAAGCGATGGAGCCACCAGGCGCCCCGGAAATGTAATCTTGTCAGTAAGCAGATTCAGCGTCTCATAGACCAGATACTGTATGAGGACCTACTGTGTGCTGGGCCTGTCGTGGGTACGGGAATGTGGAAGCTCGGAGATCTGTGAGCATCCCAGGACAATAAAGGAGACAGGCAGGTTTTATTTTTAATTTTAAAAAAAATTATTTATTTTTGAGAGAGAAACAGAGAGTGAGCAGGGGAGGGTCAGAGAGAGAGGGAGACACAGAATCAGAAGCAGCTCCAGGCTCTGAGCTGTCAGCACAGAGCCCGACGCGGGGCTCGAACCCACGAACCGAGAGATCAGGACCTGAGCCGAAGTCGGACGCTTAACCGACTGAGCCCCCCAGGCGTCCTGAGACAGGCATGTTTTAGAAGAACAGCAGGTGGAGGAGCTCATGGGGAGGAGGGGGCTTTGGTGGCAGTATGTCTGAGGGTAAAGGGAGAGAGGGTTTGAGTTTGCCCGGAGAGTGATCGTCGGGAAAATCTTCATAGTACGTGAGGCAGTGACCTTGACCAAGTCCCTAAACCTCGGTGAGCCTTAGCTTACCCCCCGCAACTAGTGGCATCTAGTTGGTGACGAATACATGAACGCTGGGCACATACTAGGTGCTCAGCAAATCCCAGTGCTGCCCTCCCCACCCACAGACCCCTTTTCTCTCCAGCGCTACACACTGTCTTCCTTCTTCACTTCGCTCAGATTGAATCACACTTTCCATCTTCTCCGCGGCAAGTTGCGCGCACTTGGCTTTTCATTTAATCCAAGTGCGATTCCGCCCGTGCCGTTTTTGCTGGGCCTCTGCCCCAGAGA